GATTCTCTGGTTGTGTTTTGCTTTCGTAAGATGTTCTTTGTGAATCTATCTCCAAGGTATTTTCAATCCCATCTCATTTTGGATAAACACATTGGAGTTATCCATGTGAAGTTAACTTTACGAAAGTTCTTCATGTTCTTTCTCTAATTTGTTTATTGTTCATCATATATCCATTATTTCAGTTTCTCTTCTCTTAGATCATTCATTTTATCTGAAAGGGATATTTATTCAAATAAGGTCATAACACGACAATTATAAATAGACAAGCTAGCAACTCCTTAAAACATAAAAAAGAATGAAAACAAGGATAGTAAGGGAACATGTTTAAAGCTTTCGGGAGTAATTTTCTTGTGTTATAAGTGCATGAAAGATAGGAGAATTAATATAAAACCATCGTACCAATGATGATTTTAGTGGAGCAAGGAAAAATATTATTTTGGGTTAGATTGTTCTAATTGTAAATGGTATTTTCAATTGATTTCAGTGAGTTGGTTTTCTTCCAACATATTTAGTAGCTAAATTTCTCATACTTCTTTAGCTTGGTTGGTTAGGAATTGAATTCTTACCTGAGATTTATTTTAGAATTTCATGAATTTAAGAGCATGTTGTTGTGTTTTCTTTTTTATCTTATTTTTTTTTCAATCTGGTCAATCGAAATGGTAAAAGACTTTATAATCTATGAATTTTGACCTTAGGCTAAAATAATGACTAAGATAACACTCAATCCCATAGTGAAATAAGAATATTATTTGTAGAAGATTGCGAACTAATAGGAGACTGAGGATTCATATGAAACATTACATGTTTACACTAACTAATCTGCAATGTAAGAGTTTTCAACGCTTATTATGACCTTGGGAGAGGTAAGCAGGATTTATCTCTGGCTACCAAGTATAGTTAGAAATCCATAGGAAGAATATCAATGATTCATTTAATCAAAAGCAAAGGAGCATGAATATCACTATAGAAAACAATCCTTTGTACATTTAGGTTTTTAATTTTGCATAAAAATGGGATTAGCCACTTTATAATTCAAAAACTATATCTCTTCAAACAAAATTCAGAATTAGTGAACTTAAAAATTTCGCCTACTTCGAAAACTAACAAGTTCTCTGGATCTATGCATGAACTCAAAATTTTGTATGCTACTTGATCAACATGTATGTTTGTGTGACTGATACGCTGTTTGACAGTAGTGCGACATCAAATATGTGTCTCCCAACACGTACATCATTGCAATCTTATATCATTGAGCTACACAGACATACATCATATTATACTAAAACCATATAATATTCTTTATTTATAACCCAACAAGTGAGAGAGGCAATCTCAAACCTTATAAAGAGATGTGATAATTCCGATCCATGATCCCACTCTCTTCCCTCTTTCAACAAAATTATTTTCATTCCACTCGTTTCTACTTTCTCTATTAGTCTGATCTCGATTTTATGGGCCCATAAACAATTCGTGAACCAAAAAAAACATATCAAATTACCCATGAAACAAATGAGTTGATCATTGTCAAAAAAAAAAAAAAAACTTATTTAACATTCATTTATTAGCAGTAAAATATTTACGTAATTTTATTTAAAAATATCTAAGAAAAGTTTAGCATTAACATCCAATCAACTCACCCATGACAAATATAAAGTAATTATTTTATTTAAAAAAATTTTAATTTTATAAATCTAAAATCTTGTTAAAAAATTTAAACTTTTTTTTTGAATTTATTACATTTAGCTATAAAAAATAAAACAAACACGGGTAGCTTTTGGTGGATGTTTGACGCTCAGCGCGAGGCTCTAAGAGACCACGTGTGAAAGCAAACGATGTCGGTACTTCACGGTCAACGTGGGCTGTGATGCAAAAGCAAGCAGATTGATGAGCTCTGTTTTAAGATTTTAAATGTTCGGCGGTGCGATCAACTTGATAAATTTACCTACAATTTTAAATTTTTTTGAAATCATAATTTTTCATAACTCGCTAAATATATCGAAGTAACTGAATACCTGAGTACGGGCAGCTACTCAAGCGATTTTATTTGAAGATAAGATAACATTAATTTAAATGAAAAATAATCAAGACATTTTATTTGAGGATAAGATAATATTAACTTAAATGATTTTAAAATCTTATAAAAAGATACACCCTATATCTATACAAATTTTTGGAAAAAATTAGTGATGAGAAATTAAGAGTTTGTTTGGGGCAGCTGCTGCTTATTGAATAATCTGTTGATAAACTGATTAAAAATAATCTGTTGATAAGTTAGGTGTGGTGGCTATTATAATTTTTTTTTTGAAAAAGTCAAATCGCTGCTAGAAAGCTGTCACCGCACCTAGGTAGATGCCGTGTGAAAATGCTGTTTATAGCGTTTTAAAAATGCATAAGCTGCCAAAACACAGTTTATCCAAACAAGCCATGTGCATTTTCAAAACTCCATCACACCAAATAACTTGACTACACAAAGCTAATGTGACTAATTTTTTTGTATGAAATTCGCTTGGCATAGATAGAATTCAGGATAAATCCGCCTAACTTTTACGTAAAACATTCATTTTTGTATTTTAATATATTTGATGAATAGGCTGACTGTAAAAATTAGTGAAGTTCCATTAACTTAATGTTAGACTATCTTCAATGATATAATCTATGGTTTGATTGCTAAGAAAAATGCACGATAGAAAATAAAATTGAGAGCAAACTAATCATCCTCAAAAGAAAAATTGAAACATTCTAAATTCAAATGTGGGAAATTCTCCCAGGAATGACGATTATCAGCCAAATTTTATTTTCCTGATTGGGTTTTATTTAAATTTCAAACTGAATATCGTCCACTGAAAAATATCAATAACAAAGAAATGATTAATGTATCTATCTTAATTGATTTTCTTAAAAAAAAATTATGTAACCAAACATTTCAAATAATCACCTCATGAAGAGTCTGTTTGGGATAGCTGCTTGCTTGCTTATTGAATAATTTGTTGATAAACAAATTAAAAATAATTTGCTGATAACCTATGTGCGATGGTTATTAAAATTTTTTTATTCTTTTGGAAAACACAAATCGTTGTCAGAAAGATGTTACCGGTGCGGAGTGAAAACGCTGTTTGCAACATTTTGAAAACGCATAAACTGTCAAAATCTAAAGAGATGTGGTGTGTTTTCAGAATGCCGCCGCACCAAATAAGCTACGCAAATGCCTGGAATTTTCTCCCAGCTATATATCTGCAATTATGAAAATCGTTTATTAAATATATAGCGATATAAGAATGATGTTATAATAATAATAATAATTTGGTTTTGTTTTCAACAGCCGTACAAATTGCTGCATATTAATAGTCCAGGCGAACGACCGCCTTTGCCGATGCCCTATATCTGCATCTCTACCATTAAACTCGCCGCTGGCGCAGCTCTCCGACAATAGCTCCAGCAAACTCCAACTGTAGCTTCCCAGCCAATCGATTGAGGTACGTACGGGGAAATGAAATTCCAAATTTATATTAATTAAACCTTTTTTGTTTTAGATCTGATGGTGGTCCGAAGATTGATTTTTCCTTCCACATTGAAAAACATGCTCCAAGATAAATGATCACAAAAAATTTTACGTATTTTGTCCACAAGTAAAGTATAGTTCTCATAAATGCAATATTGAAGTCTTGGCAACCTAATTTGTTGCAAGCTGATACTAGATTTGTTGATGTTTAATATGTACTTAGTCTTTTTCAAATAATTCATTCGTTGAAAGCAGCTTCAACTTTGCTAGAAGTTTATTGGGTTCAGTATGCGAAAATTGCTATTTACTTTAACAAATATTTGCTAGAATATGTGTATGCTAATATATATATATATAATATATATATATAGATCGCTTTTTTTAAAAGCCTAATTCAACCTTATGTTATATCATGTGGACATTGCATTTCAACTGCCGAGTGAAGTTCCTCATATTCTTCATAGAATTAGCAGAGCAGGGTGTTATTTTATTTAACTTTACATGCATTAGAGCATTAGGTGAAATAAAATATGCATTAGATGATTTTTTTTTTAGCACAGAATGGTTATTGATAATGGCAGTGATTGTCATTGATTTCTATGGTTTTTAAATGAGAGCAAGGTGTACTTGTTTATCGATTTTGGAACTACATTACATGATTTGTTTGTTAGATGTCTATTTGAAGCTTCATTTTTTTTGTCCATTTGAAGATTTGTGGTGACGGAGTGATTATTTTCAGCACACACTAATATAAGAAGTAGAGACACCAAAATTTTTTATATGAAAAATCCGAAAAGACAAAAAATCACGGGGGCTTAATCCACTCAGAAATAATCTACTATAGTTTGATAAGTACAGGTACAGACCCTTCTCCCATTGACGGGAAAGGGATACACAGTTATAGTGTTCGTGTGTATGAGAACTCATTGCATAACGGTCGGGAGCGATTGCAAATACGGAACTTCAGTACATATTTCTTTAAATGCATCATTGTGTGATAATGAAGATGACACACTGCTCTGTAGAATGTTCCACTCCTCCATGACGTTGGCAGATACTCCACATAATGCTTTGTTACTTGAAAATTTGGGTTGCTACTCCACATAGCGATATCTTAATCTGCAACATTGGTCGTTGTTCAATGTGGTGTTTCATTACCTAACAACATACACAGATATTCTAGGAGGGGCTTATTTGCAACGAGCAGGGGCAATCAGGTTCAGTGGCTACATAAACAGAAATTGTTCATCGAATTTTTGGTGTAGATATTGTACTTTAGTTGTTTATTCTCTTGATCCTCCTCGATGCATATGTCTTACATTACAGGAAAAACAGTTATAACCGACGAAAAAATAGACAACTTTTTATATGTCAACAATATCGTGTTAATTTTCGAAAGCATAGCAATAGTAAATTGACTAGATAATTTGCATATGACTACAACCTAATCCTTTGCTTTTCTACAGGAACAAATTTATAATGAATTGTTTGGACTTACGAATGGTTTATACCATCCATTAGCAATGAATGTTAACCGATGAACATAGTAACATCAGTTATTAACAGAGCTGTATTTCTTGGGGGAGAAGCTGGTATTTTTATTTTTAAATAAGTGAAGACTTTGACAGTCGATTTCTACACTCTCCCCTAACCCGACCTGCCCCTAGCGGGACAATGATCCCCACCCTCACTCCTACACCCATCCCCACCCATACCCCTGCCCCCACTCATATCATCACCCCTACCTCCACCCCAATTGCAGCAACAACGAGTTCAGAAGAGGCCTACTTTGCATCTACTAGGAAAGAGTCGATAAGTAGCAGCTATCGCATTGAGCCTGTCGACAACACGTATGCTTTTGTAAGATATAAACAGTAATCCTTTTAATTTTTTAATTGAATAGAAAACTAACCATTTGTTTTTTTCAGGTTCTACCCCCCGACACAGCTTATTCATGCCATTAAGAATATCATCCGGAGCAAGTATGACTCAGCGTACTTATCGTGGAAGGAGATCTCGATGAAAAATCAAGATCTTTGGTTCCACGAATTTGTGATATATATTGTTCTAAAGACAACTTTATTTATTTATCAATCTAACATATTCTTTGTGATTTTGTAGAAATATTTCTCCAAGCTCCTTGAGCATGAAGCACACACCCGATGTGACTTTGAGCGGAAAGGCAGTGATTACCTACGAGGCATGTTTGATAACATTCAATATTCGTAGAGGATATTTTCGCCCTACTGCTCAGGGCATGAGATTCTTCGTAGTACCGAAAGAAGATAGAGTAGAACAAGTAGAACAGAGATCGAAAAGTAGAGGCATAAGGCTCTCCAAGTACACTGATGGTCACTCTCATATACAAAATGCAAGCTGTGGATAGTAAGATTTGATTTATGCTTTAAATTTTACTATAAATCAAATATATATTCTAACTATTTTGTTATATTAACAGACTGACATTGGGAGGATATCCCTCAATTGTCGATGTACATGAGCTCACTTATAGGAGGTAGTCCGACTAGTCGTGGATCGATGACAGATCCATTGCGACCCAGTAAATTCTCGGTCTAAAATAATTTGATGTTTATGTATGTTAGCTCTAATTGTATGTAACTACATTTTTGCAAGAGAGATTGGGTGGTGTTACGATCTAAGATCCCAGGAGTTGGGTGGTGTTACGATCTAAGATCATGATCTATCCGAGTACAACCTGTGGAGGGCGGCTGTTGGAGGGAAGAAGAAATGTCAATTCTACGGGCTTAGGACATAGGCATGTGCCTACTACGCTCACACCTCGACCAACGCATCTGTAGCTTATGTTTCTATCTTACAGAAGGAGGAGGTCTCAAGGCATGTTGCCTCATTTGCTACTGAGATGGAGGCTTTCTTCGCTCAAATGAGGTTGGAGATGAAAGCAAACATGGAGACCAAGTTGAAGCTTGCATTATATGTGTTCCAGCAGTGGGCGAAGTAGTGTAGTAAGGAATCATTGAAGGAGGAGGAGGAGGCGGCGGCAGATGATGATGATGAGGAGACAGAGGAGGAAAATTAGTCGGGAATATTTTTCATTTTATTTATATATGATTATGTTGAACATTTAAGCAGATATTTTATCTGTTGAACAGCTATGTATTTATGTTAAATTAATGCATATTTGTTTACTTAGTTATTTGCTTGTCTACTTTACTATTCAAATGCTATTTTAGTCTGTTAACTGCTTAGAATTGTTATTTAAATGGTGTAATTGTAGATTGGGTAATTGTCAATATCAAATAGGGATTTTAATTTTTTTTTTGGTTGATGCTATAGGTTTCTGATGACTTACTATCGGTGTTGCGACGACTATTCAAATATTAGTCGCCATAATCGGCGGTTCATACCGTCAATTATAACATCTAGTTAATTATGAGGCTTTGACGGAGATTGCTTCAATAAAAATCGACAGCTAACAAGTGACTTAATTGTCGGTTACTAAACCGACACACCCACGATGCCAAACTGACAGAACATCAGCATCATAAAAATGACGATCGCAATAATTTTCCATCGGTTTACAGGTCGCTAATTACTAACTATTTTCTTGTTAGTTTAAAAAACTGTCGTATCATCAACACCAAATAGGCAGACTAACTGCATCATAAAAACGATGGCCTTCGACGGTGTATTTGTCAATTAATAAAACCGACGGGACTATGCCTTATGAATAATTCAAAAGCGACGATTAAATTTTATCGATAAGTTGTAATGTAGTTGGAATATATGTCGGTTAAAAATTATAGATAAATGTTTTAGCTAAGATCATAAAATAATCAACAAGCCGCTCGAAATACAATAAGCGACAATTTCTCTTCCAATAATAGTTGAGATTATGCCTTTTAAAATGGACAACATTTCTATTGTGTTAATTCCCTTTCATGAAAGGAGTAGGGATTTATTTATAGAGTCTGGGAGATGCCTTCCAATGAATAATAAAATATTATAGACCCTTCCAGTGGACGACCCAGAGAGATCCTCTTTATCAGACGACGTTCTGCTAACATTTGAGTCACTTAACTATGTTGAAATTAAGTGATATTGGACTAATTCAATTCATCTTATTAAGAAAGTTAATTTGACTATAAACATATAAGATTTCGAATATATTTGACATTCCAATTAAGCACCTGAAGTTTTTTAAAATTTTTTAGTGGCTCAATCTAGGCTTGATTTGACTCAAATTGGGTCAGTGTTGGTCTCATTGCTTTTATCTCATTGAAATGATTAGTTTGAATCTATATTGGTTAAAAATGGAGCTCTAGATTATTTTTAATGTGAATTTCAATATTTCTTATAAAAAAATAGTTATTGACATCCATGCCACCACTCGTGTTGGATGACGAGAATTTTTGGTTAGCGTAGCAGTTGTCTGCCTATTTTTGACTGAGGCTAGCTCATAGTCCCAAAATACCAAAAAATTGGATTCCATATTTTTTCTTCTCTATTTTATCACACACGCTCTTCCTTGTTCTCTTCCTTGCTGCTCTGCGTTCTAACCCCTTATCCTTTAGGTATATTATAATTATTTTGTGGGTCACCGATGGAGGCTGAATGGGTCCGACGTTTTGCTTGGTCGAAGCGGATCGAAGCAAGTCGCCGTAGGGTAGAATGCATCACCTGCAGTTTGAAGCTGGAGCAGGTCGGAATGGATATGACGGATATGCATCATTTTGGTGGGTTCACAGGTTGGGTTAGGTTAGCGGGTTACCACCACAGATCGGGTTAGCATGGTTCAGATAGGTTGTCAGTTTGGCGAGTCGCATGGACCTGCGATTAACACCGGCTGAAACCAAGATCGCTATTGGCACTGAGGAAGCAATTCGCGGACGCCCTCGATTAGATAAAGCTCTATGTTGTTTCGTGTTCCATGAATGGCACAATCCGAAAATGGGCTGGAGAGGTGAAGCAAGTCTCGATATTGAGAACTAGTGATGCAATTGCTACTGGCAGGATGTGTGCGTTAAAATTTGGAGAAATTATTTTATACGGACACACATGCAGAGAGATACAAGCAGTGTCTGATCTTCACTGTCGATTACCGTAATTAATTTTTTTTAAAATTATTTAAAAATATGGTTCATTGAAAAATATTTTTGTGGTGAACGATGAAATTGAACACTGTATAAAATAAATTTTCAAAAATTTGGCTGACAGCAGCCCTGCCTGCCACCTCAGTGATCCGTGCAATGGCTGAATGCAATATTAAGCACGTGATATGTGGATCAGATGAAACTTTTTTTGGGCTTGATCGGGCGGTGCGGCCAACAAAGGACAGCTGGGTTAGAGTAAAATTTTTGTTTTTTTTAGCCAATATTGAGGTGTGGTAAAGGGTTAGAAGAGATAATTAGAGAGGAACTTGGCAAAACAGGAGCCTGAGCATCGGACATTTAATGAAAAATCATTCTCGAACTTAACAAAAGAAGCCTCGCATCCTAGAAAATAACTTGAGAAATCACCAAACTTTTTTAGAAAGACTTTATAAGCATAAGTTGGACTAAAAAAGCCTTAAGAATTTTAGAAGTTATTAAAATTTTAGTAACTGTTATCTAATTTGTTGAAGCTTTAAAACAAACGTTTTTTTTATATTAGATTTATAAAAGATATTCTCCATAATAATACCAAATCTAGGTGATTATAAGATGGGGGCTATGATTAAGGAATATAGTTCTATTTTGAAGAAAAAAATTTTCATAAAACGTAAGAATCATAGTAGTTAACACTATTCCTTGCACCATAAGAGATGAGTTATCTAGGAAAGCCCTATGTGATATATGAGCTAGGATTATTTTCTTATCTCGCTCCATCTTTATGAGATTAGAACTAGGAGAGGTACAACCTATAACCGTAACACTTCTGTTAGCAAACCAATCTTATTAAGGTGGATAAATTTATCTTGCCAACAAATTTTATTATTTTCGATAGGGAAGAAGGTAAGGATCTTATCTTGTTAGGTAGAACTTTCTTAGCCTTTGAACTGATTGATGTTCAAAAAAGGAAACTTATTATAAGAATGAATAATCATGAAGTAACGTCAAATTTTTTGAAATCGATGAAGTTTATTCAAGACCATATAGATGAAATTCTATAAAGTAGACTAGGTGGATGGGTATGTCCAAAGCCATTTTAATGAGGTTTTAAGATGGAGCTAATACAACAAAATTTAATGAAGGATTGTTATGAAAATCCTAAGAAAAATGAGATCTATTATTAGATGCACTCCCTGGAGTGATTATGGATAAGTATAAATCTCTAGAAACTTTAACTAATACAAAAACTTTAGTACCTTATATAGTTTAGGTTTCTAGGTTAAAACTTAAGGTGTTCTCCCCAAGCACACGAAGTATGTTTTAAAGAACCATATTCAACTTTGCGTATAATTATTTATTTTAATATGAGCGCTGTTTAAGAAGCAAAGTTTACGTGAGTTTTGAAGAAGTTTAGAAAAGTCTTTAGTTGGATTTTAGCAGGTATTAAATGAATAATCCCTTCCCTATTTATGTATAAATTCCGAATGGAAAATAATCATGAACAAAAGATGGAGCCACAAACGAGGCTTAACTCTGTAATAAATGAAGTAGTGAAAAAAGAAACTCTTAAAAGCCTTTATGCATGTATTATTTGTCCTATTTTGATAGTACATGGCTATGCCGAAATCATTATGTTCATAAGAAATGGAGACTAATTTTTGTTCAAAATGACTGGAATGAGCTAATGCATGCTAGAAGTGTCACTAGTTGGCAAATTTGTATAAACTATAATAAATTGAACAAAGCAAGTAGAAAGGACCATCTCCTCTTGCTTTTTTTTTTATCAAATACTAAATAGATGTTCTCAACACCCCTATTTTTTCTTCATTCATCGTTCAGGGTATCGCCTAATACTTATAACACTTGAAGACCCAGATAAGACCATTTTCACTAAACCTATGGAACTTTTTCCTATAATAAAATGTCGTTTGGATTATGTGATGCTCTTGCAACTTTTCAAAAATTCAATATGTCTTTTGTTTTATCTTATTGAGAAGGAGACTAAGGCGTTAATAGATGATTTTTCTATTTTCTTACATTTTTTTGATACATGTCTTGAACATCTAGCAAGTGTCTTATAAAGATGTGAAGAGAAAAATCATATGTTGAATTATGTGACATAACAAGTCATGGTCACTAAGAGTATTATTTTAGGGCATAATATCTCTAAAAATATTATGGATGTTGGTTAGGTAAAATTTAGGGCATAATATCTCTAAAAACTATCCTCACCCTTTTCAACAAAAGATATTAGGAGTTTCTTAGTTCATGCTGGATTTTATCGCGCGCGCGTGTATGTATGTTAATATCAATATGTATTAGGAGATGTGGTAAATTCTAGAGATTTTAGATCTGATTGTAAGATCTTACAATTGAGATTCTATCAACTAACTTATTTAAGGATATTAATGAATATATTAGGAGGTGTGATAAATTTCAATGAGTAGGAAATATTTGAAATAGAAATGAAATTCCCTTCAAATCTATTCTATACCTTATAATTTCTTTATCTTTGAGAAATGAATTTCATGGGACCATTTATGTCATCTTTAAGTAATTAGTATATTTTTATTGTAGTAGCATATATCTCAAAAAAGATAGAGGTAGTGGCTCTAAATTAGTATGAATCATAAGGTGTTCAAGAAATATCAATGAAAATTATATTTAATAGGTTTGAATGTCTCGAGCTATCATTAGTAATAGAGGAAGTCATTTTTGTTATAGAAGAATTGGAACAATAGTAGCCACATGATCAATCATAATATTTTCTCTACATATAATCCTCAAAATAGTGGATTAGCAAAAGTATCAAATAGGGAGATTGATTAACAAAATTTTAGAAAAAAAATATTAACCCTAGTATGAAGGATTAATTCCTTAGGTTCGATGTTGCATTATGAGCTTAGAGAACTATTTAACAAACTCTCATAAATATGTCTCTTTATAGAATAATTTTTGAAAAAGTCTGTCATTTATCTATATAATTGGA